GTATAATTTCTCACTTCATCAGCCTATTATCGAACAGATTTCAGATGTCATCAGGACACTGCGAGCGCCACATAAAGTATTCATTCTTCCCTGTTTTTTTTTAGTAAACCATGAAGTATTAATGCTGATTGATCTTTGAGATTTTTTTTGCAGTTCTCTGAAGTTAATCTATTCATTTTCCGTTATTCGAAAACGGTTCTGAACCGTCGTAGCCTTGAGGCCTAGAAATGATAATGGTAAAGTGGTAGTGGTGATAGCAATAGGGATAATGACGATGCTGATATAAATTACAGAAACAATGAATAATGATGACTGACGGAGACGATGAAAAGAATTAAAATAGAGATAATAGTAATCGCTTGTTACAGCCTGGTGATGCAGCCTTACAAGTGTTTAAGTATGATGGTAGTATGGGTGATTTTGGATCTTATCTGGACTCTGATATGTCGTTGATGGAACAAGAGGATGAACTCGAAATTCTTAAAGCTGATCCGTGTGTTTTGCTCACTTTTTTTGATCTCTTTCCGTTGATCAACTTTTCGTTGATCAGTTTATATTGCATCAAGTGCTGGTTCATTTGAGCCAATTGAAGAGCACGAATATTCGACATGAGATTTCCTCATGAAACTCACCAAATACCTTAACTACTTCGATAAAGAAGCTGAACGCTTCTAGTGGTTCACGCTTTTTTGGAAAACAACAGAACTGCGAGTAAATTCCTGCAAAGTTCAGGGTTTTAAAGGGCATTCCAAGCGGAAAACAGATGCTTCAGTATTGGGTTAGGTGAACACAAGTTGATTTTCTTTGTGTTTAAAGATCAACGATGACAATAACAATAAGACGACTGAAATTAATGTCGTTGTTATTTGTGACATTTCACACGGGTTCTCAAATTAATGATCACGTAGATGACAGTTCCAAGAAATCCTGTTTACTAAATCGCCTCAAATCAGATCCCTCTAAGTAAAATGTGCATTTCTCTTCAATACGACGATCGACTCTCAATCGCTGCTTCGTAAATCCTTGCAATACCATTAATTATTCAATTGTAAACAAGTATTCACTCGAATGCATGTTCTTAAATGAAATGTAACACCCTCTCGTTTACACTATCGTCTGTGTAATTGTCCACTAGTTTGTATTATCCAATATATAGGTCAACAACAAGTGCTGATCAATTCAACAATTACTAAGATGTTGTTGTCCTTGAGTGATGACCATTAACATGCTCAATTAATGACCACACCAAGAGAATTATTGCATGCGTTGACCACCAGCTGACCATTGCATCAAGATATCCATCCATCCAATAATTCAAAGCATTGGATCAAACCAATATTTCGAACGGTTTTGAAGCTATGACCGAACAGAAAATATTTTGATACAATTACAACCAGTTTTGAGCAAAATTTTTCATAGTTGAGTGCAATGCGTTCAAAAAATATCAGATGGTGAATTCATAAACATTCAGCAAGATTTTGATGGTTTGTTAGAGTTGAAGATAAAGCTTTCGAGTTCAGGTTTTGAAGCGAGTTCAAGTTTTAAAGTTATT